AAAACCATCTCCCTGAAAAAAAATTATCAAAATAAATTAGCACTCATAGAGTGTAAAGTAAATTTCTCACCCAGAGAGGTCATGCCCAGCAACTGGATGAGAAAATTTTTCTTCTATCATCTTGCTTAGATTGTACTTTGCCAAATCATTTACTGTTGCTGCTTGGAATGGTTGAGGTTGATCTCAACCTGGTGATTGTCTGCTCTGCACCATCTGCTCAAGCAGAGTCACCTGCTGCAGGTTGCTCAGCACCGTATGTAGTCAGGTTTTTAATATCTACAAGAATAAAGATTTCACTCCATCCTCTCTGGGCAACCTCTTTCAGTCTTTAACAACCTCAGAAGTTTTTACTTATTCTTAAATTGAGTTCCCTTTGTTTCATTTTGTGCCTGTTGCCTCTTGCTCTGTCACTGGGCACCAYTGAAGGGAGCCTGTCTCTTGTCCTCTTGCACCCTCCCTTCAAGTATTTTTATACATTATTAAGAACCCCCGTGAACCTTCTCTTCTCCAGGCTGAGCAACGTCAGCTCTCTCATCCTCTGATCATATGTGGGCTTCTTCTTTCCTCTCATCTTCATGGCCCTTCACTGGACTCACTCCAATGTGTTCACATCTTGTAATTTCTTGTACTGCTTTGGGTACCATGGAAAAAGCTACAGAATTTTTGCTTCCTGTAGGTTCTGTGCTTTTGCCACACTCCCTGCTTAAATAAGAAAAAGAGAGAGGGAAAAATTACACTGGGGGRAAAGTAGGATTCAGGGAAAACACAGTCTTTCTCAGGACAAGAGGAGGAAATACAGCTTTTAGCAGAGGAGGTCCYGTCTGCATTCTCCACCAGGACCTCTGGGGCATTCTTGGGTGAGGGATTTCATCCTCTTTCTTGGAATGCTGCATTTCAGCAGAATGAAGAAAATAGCTTTTTTTACATTATTTTTTATAATTACTGTATTAGGAAAAAAAACAAATATACTTCTTAAAATACAACTTTTCCCTAAATTTTGGTCCTGCACTTTCACAGACAAAAGTGGCCAAGGAACAAGACAGACAWAACATCCATCCTGCAGCAAGGCAGAACTGGGTAAGGTTTCCAGTTGACATCTGGCAAAAGTGTTGAAAGTTTTGCAGAAATATTCACCAAAGGGAGAATAAAATTATTCAAAATTGATGTGGTACCACAATTCCAGAACTTCTCATAGAATTTCTTATATGATCAGTAATTTTAATAACCGGTTATTTCATAGATGCTGTTTTTCAGCCTTCAAATTGTCCTTTTAAGATATTTAATAGATTTTTATAAAATATAATACGATTTTATTTTAGTAGATTTGCTAACATAATAGATTTCATAAACTGGCTTTCTCAAAMTCATGATGAACTACATTTTAGTTTCTTAATTGACCTTTTACATGATTCACAAAGCACTTGGGTTTTGTTTATATTTTTTGTATGTATTTATTCTTCTGATATGTAGTCAGACAAATATTAGGCAGCATTTTTACTGATGCTGCTGAGGTATTTCAGAAGCATCAGATATGGGTTTGAAATRCTGTGAACTCCAAAAGAAGCACTGCCACATTGTCACAGTTATGTTACAGGCCAGAGTACTCTGAGTCTGCAGTGACAGGCAGTGCAGAAATCACTAAAATGGTTGTCCAAAGTAACATTTTCAATAGAAATAATTTCACTATTTACCAGTGAAACAGGATATAGGACATAGGATTTAAGAGATCATCCAACATGACACCTAAAGATGAAAAAAAAAGGGAAGAGAAAAAAAAAAGAACAAGTTAATAGAAAAAAAGAATGTTCTCCCTAGAAGCTAAACTTCTATTTTTATTTTTTTWAACTATGAACTATTAACTATTTCTTCTGTCTTTTGAATTGCAGTCCTCAARTCAGCGGCCATTGAGACAGCTTTTCAACACATGCACGTTAATGGGAATCCTAATACTAGAAAGATTTGACCCACACAATTTTATTTCACAGTGTCAAAATTCTTTCACTGCATTGTCAGCTTTGTCCAAATTAAGTATTTTTCCACCCCAGATATTTAGCAGGAACCACAGCCACTGCTACAATGAAGGGTAACACCTCTCACATGCTCTTTAAAAGAGTAAAGCTGAATTAAAGTTAGTAAAACATTAGGGAGACTGACCTTTCTAGAACACAAAGTGAGGTCTAAAGCCACTACTACCCTTTAGCCAGGGGAACTCTTTTGCTGGACTGAAGTTCTGCTTCTTTAATTTCAATACATTACCTCTCCAATAAAAATGCTGACTACTACCCCTTGTCAGGGAAAATTAGTAGAAGATTTCAGTTACAACATGTCCAGCTTAATTAATTTACCTAATCGTAATGTGTAGGTCCTAGTATGAGAAGAAGTAACCTTTAACCTTGAGTGGCAAGGCACCAAATAGCAACTCTTTCATTACCAGCCAGACCTCTAGTGAGCTGACACTGTCATGTGAGAACAAGTATTTTTRTAAACCTCTCTCCAAGATTTGACTGTCACATTTTCAGAGCTTTAAAGATTTGTTTAAAAAATATACAAAGTCCTTACTGGCAGACAGAAGTAYTGCCAGAAGGGCTGGATTTTGAAATAGCAGTTATCTTGTGTGTCCAGTTTCTAGGAGCTCTGGTATATATAAAGCTTTACATATGTTAATGCAAAGAATAGAGCTTTTCATCAGCCTTTATGCAGCTCTATTACATTGTGTAAGAATGGGTAAGAATAAGGCAGCTGAACATCAGGTGATTCAACTAGAATTCACCTAAAACCATGTCAGGTAAATAGACTGACCACTCRTAATTGCTGCAGAAGTGATTAAAAAAAATAAATAAATTAAAGATCCTCCTGTTACATGAAGCTGTACATTCTTTCAGCCGTGAGCATGCACTCGTGTACTGATTGATCTGTGACTGTCACCACCACGCCCATATTGATCACATGCAAAGGCAATTCAAAGGCAATCAGGACAATCACCCACTTCCTCCATCTGTGGCATTTATAAGGCTCAGCYAATTATTCCCTTTTCCCAGCTTGTAACCTAAAATTAGGGTAAATGAGACCACATGGGGACTAAGAGAGGACCATCTGAGTTAGAAGCYCTGCTRTCTGTYCTGGTTCCCATGATTTGATTCAATGTGAACTGSTAGCACCCATGAGAACAGGTAAACTTTCCACTCTAAAGGAAAACAGACTATTTTACATTCACATATCTGTTGGAGCAAGAGTTCATTTATCCTTATGTTTTCTATCTAATTTTTAAATACAGTTGTATTTGCTATAAAAAAAAAAAGAAAAAATAATTTTCTTCATGAACAGTTAGATAAAGGTAGCTTCATGCAACAGAAGACATGTGCACCTATAATTTAAAATAACTTTCTCTGCCCTCTTTTGATTTGTGAGTGGCTTCTTTAGGCTTTGATAGAGMAACTAAGTTGAGTTATAAGTTCAGTTTTGATATCTCTGGTTTGTTTGCCCAAAAGAGGATCATTTTGCCTATCATGGATGAGAAGACGGGGCCACAGGCCACAGTTGTTTTAATCCCCAGCAGAATATCTCTGAAAACTAGGGTTTTTTTGCTGTCTGAGTTATTGCTTTAGACTTGTAATTGATTAAAAAATATATTTCACTTTAGGAAACAATCTGTTGCTACTTAGATTTAAGCTTCAGAGTTTTTAGGCATCCTGTATGATCATGGTTTTTTTGGGGGGTTCTTTTTGGTTTTTTTTGGTTGTTTTTTTTTGTTTGTTTGTTTGGGGATTTTTTTTTCGGTAGTCTTGAATATTTATCCATACTGGTTACATACTCTTTATTGTTCTTCTGTTTTATGATGCAGCATGTGTAGTCCTGATATTCTAAATAAGTCTGAAGGGTCCAGATTTGAATAGATATGAGGACAGATAGAAGCAAACAGAACCTATGTCTCAAAAATGCCATCAGAAGCATTGAGAGCTCTGTTTTCAGAAGCGGTGCTGGTTTACCACTGCCTTATAACAGGTGCATGCATTTACATTTGCACACCATAGATGTGGGATTCTCCCTTTTGTAGTTGGAAGCATTTTAAACAGGTGTTAGTGATCTTAAWGAGCTCCACAAAATGGAGAAACTGACCTGGAAATCAGCAGACTTCACTGTGGATAAAGTAGTAGGAACATTATAAAGCACTGTGAGTTTGGCTCTTCCTAATTCCCTTTCAAGGTTGTAATAGCTTTTGTTTGATATGAGAACACACTGCCTCTGCCCCTTCTGATGCATTGTAGTTATAGGACAGAATCTGCCTATAGAAACAGTCGTGGGTTAGGCTGCTTCAAGGTTGSTCTTTTTTCTTTTGATGATAAATTCAACTTACTTTCTTTTAAAAATTGTTTTCTTGACTTAAACACAGTAGCATTACTTATTTCTGTAATTAACTTCATCTGAATTTCAACCAGAAATAGAAAGAAATATCACAATGATTGGATAATGTTAACCTTAAAAAAAATCCCTCTCTTTATCTACTTGCTGTTTTTCACTTGTTGCCTAATTAAAGTATTGGATTATTTTAACCAAATTATTTTCACAATCTGTTATTTGAATTCTGCTGAAAATGTTAGCTTTCATGTGTGTTTAAACCTTTATCTTTAGCATACAGATTGAGTTTAGCATACACTATTGGATTCACATAATTTAATAGGTAATATAATTCTGGGGAAAAATCTTGTTCACCCCCAAATGAACTAATTAAATAGACTACTTAACTTCCTAGTGTTACTAAATTCAGAAGCTGAAGTATTTATATAATTCTTTGATTTTTTTTTGTTTAGGGTTTTTTTTTAAATACTCTTTGATCCTAAATGTAATATCTCAAAAATGACAGGTGCCCTAAGAAATTGTAGTAGCTAAGTGTGGAATTCAAAGCGAGAGTTTTACCAGTTTGCTAATGACAGTGGAGGAGCACAGATGTATACCTGTAACTTAAGCTGATCTACTCAGTCATACTCAAAAAACCCACAAACATGCCTGATGCAGACAGGAGAGATGTGCAGGAGAAGGGGTTTTTGAACCACATGGCTGACAAGGAGCAACTCCAACCTGGGAGAAGCAACCATGCTGGAAAACTGCCTCAACCTGAGAAGAAGCTCCACGAGGCTGTTTGTGTGCTGCTGCTGGAGCTGTGTGAGAGGTTCACCTTCTTTGGCATCGTGTGCAACATGATCCTGTTCTGTACTGTCAAGCTTGGCTATCGCAGCTACCAGGCTGCCATTGTCAATATGTGCTTCGTGGGCACCTCCACGCTGACACCAGTGCTGGTGGGCTGGCTTGCTGAATACCTTGTGGGGAGGACCAAGCTGGTGTGCATCTGCATGTTCCTACACTTCCTAGGTAGGTGACACCCAGGTCACTATTACAGTTCTTACTAATCCTCTTGCAGAAATTCACTCTTAGGCACTGTATTTGGCATCTGACCCTTTTCCCAAACCTTCTTTAACACCTAATTACTTGGCCTCTCCTCTGCAAAATGGTCTGCAGTATTTTCACCTTTGTAGTTTTCTGAGGCAGTGATCTGAGCAAAGCAAGAGTTGTATGTGCATCTTGTGTAGCTGTTGCACAAACTTGACTCCTCTAAAGTGGGTCAGCTATTGGGAGCATGGATACTCAACTATTAAAATTGGTCCCTTTAGCAAGCACCTAAGGTTATTAGTGTCTAGCACAAATGCAAGGCTGGAGTCAGGGGGAGCATTTAGAAACTGTTTTCCTGCTGTTGGGAGTAAGACTGTGTGTAAAGGTACAAGGCTTTTGTATTTGGACAAGAGGAAAAGTATTTAAGTGCATACCAATACTGACAAACTTTGCCTTATGGATCCTAATAGCTGCACCTAGTGCCTGCCTTCTGTTGGCACATTCTGAATCTTCCCTGTCTATTATTCTGAATACCTTTTACCAAAAAAGCACTGTTCAAACTAAAATACACCTGTTCTGTAGCAGGTAGTGCATCTCCTATGATCTGGTGGTGTGTCTGGTGGTTACTCTGTCAAATTACACCAAGCTGATCAAAATACTTCTCATTTGAATCTGTTTTCTGCAATAGCCAGCTGCATTGGTATTTAGACATGCAACAGAGCAAGTAAAAAAATCATTCCTGAAATGTTCTTGAGGTGATTGCAAAACCATTGTTCAAACAGTCTGGAAAAATGATTGCTATTGTGTTCTACTGTTTCTTCTCCCCTGGGATTACAGTTTAAATCTCTTTCTGCCACTGTCCTTTCTGCCACTTCTGTCCTTTCAGTGCATCTCTTAAAGTAGAAGACTGGAGACACAAACAGAATTTGATACATTTGGGTATTGTTTTAACCAGAACATTTTTTTTCTTGTGGAGATAAATCATTAAACATTCCTGCATAGTCATATGCATTAAACATTGATGCATAGTCATAATAGTGGCTAATGTTGGTGTTGTTGGCACATGAATATATTTTAAGTTTAGTGTCCGTTACAACTTGAAAAACCTATGGCTGATTAAATCTGAAGGACTTGCTTAGCAGACTAAATATGGCAAATGCAATTCATGGCAGTGCTTCTATAGTTAAATTTTCTGAAAATCATATTTTCCATTAAGCTACTACAGAAAAAAACAAAAAAAGGAAATTTTCCACAAAAGTTTTGAGAATTTATTTCTGAAAGTATGATTTCTGTTAGGATTCTGAGGTTTTAGAAGATGAAAAAAATGCTCTACTCCACCGTGGGATGTTTTAGAGTTGGTTTTTTCTTTTGTTAATTTATGGCTCAATTGATAGAAGCCAATTATTGATAGAAGATCTTGAATCCTTACTAGCATTTCAGAGGAAATTTGGGTTCTTGGAGGCCCATTGTGGTCTCACCTTACTTTATATTTCAACATCCAAAAAGTTTCTGCCTCTCTGGAATTATGCCTGTTCCTCTTTGTACTTGTCTATTGAGTATCTTTGATTTTYCCTCTGTCTTTTCAACACACCTGCTCTTAAAAATACGTCTTATTAATCTGACTCTAATTCCTTTCAAATGACAATTTTYGTTCCCTTCCAGGCACAGCACTATTACCTGTTGTGTCATTCCCCTTTGAAGATATTTACATCGACAAACGACATGTTCTTCACACTCTACCCAAGAGGGAGCAGAAAATCGTGTTCTGCTTTGCTCTSCTCACAGCCAGTCTGGGAATAGGAGGCATAAGAGCTATCGTGTGTCCACTRAGTGCATACAGCCTAGAGGACTGTGGACCAAAGGAGCTGCTTTCATTTTTCAACTGGTTGGTAATTTAATGTTGGCTAAATATCTGTTGGGAATGATAGAGCATTACCTTGAAATTCACTGCTGAAATTCACAGATTCTGTGATGGTGGGTTTCATGTTTTGTTTTTCACTGCAAAACTTTTGGATTTTGGAAGAGTTTTCAGGAGTTTCAGTYAATTGTTTTCCTGACTTTTTCGTTTTGCTAGAAAATGATCATCTGTTTTGGCTTCCTACAGAAGTATTCAGTCAGAATATTCAAGATTAAATGATTTGCCCAAATACTGAAAAGACTTGCCAAGCTAGTTGCTGTTGGAACAGCATATCCCATTTGGWTTTCTGCCTTTAACATGGCTGTGCCTTTAGGAAATTTTGCTGTTGTTCCCCAACAGTGGCAAAATTCAATGATATACTGGAGTTTACATCAGGGGAAATTTTTAGCAGTAACAGGCAGCAGTGGGCTACTGGTTTGCTGGAAGTCAGGATTGCTAGTAGTCTTAAACTGCTAAGCTCAGTGGTAGGAATGTGCTGTATTATTTCAGCTCTGTTGCTGGGAAGTTCTGGCATCACATAAAAATAACATCTGTATTTTAGTTGTAGTTTTYTTCATTCTTTAGAAAATAATTGCTATTAAAATGGTTCTTAAAAATCAGGGTTTAGAATTCTTTGATTTTGGGTATTATTTTTCCTCCATGCATCAGGGAGGTAATTTTTGATGATTTTTTTTCTCCTTGTCTCTTCTGTAGCCCTATACAGAGTGCTATACTTTCTGGTTAAACTGTAGTGRGGAAATTGCAGTGGGAACCTCCATATTCCTGCTTCAAGGCAGGGTGAAAGAAAGCCCTAAACTGCGCCCTTTTCTCTCCTTTACATGCACGGTTATTAAAATAAAAACTGAGTACATTTGCATATTAACAATGCAGTGCTGAAGAATCGATGAAGATCTCAGCAAATCAGATCTCTCCTCCTTTGGGGATGGCTTTCCTGGCTGTTCTTTCTTCCTCCAATTATGTTAATACCGAAGAGTTCTGCATTAAATCCAAACTTCAGTGAATAAAGTAYCTTTACCAAAGGTGATGAGACTATTTAGTTCCTTAGAGCAGATTCTGCCTCCTTGACCTGCTCATAGGAGAGAAGAGGAAAAAAAATCCTTCCTTTTTACTCTATTCTGAGTTTTAATCCTTAATTAGCAACATCATTTTGATTAAATAAGACCCTGGGGGATTAAGACTGGAGAGCAATCAGTTGTTCTGAAAGATAGCTCTGGAGAGTTTATTGTACTGTGGTCTTAGCCATTCAGAATTGTGTTTAATCAAAGTGACATTTCTTAGTGTTGATTACAAAGGAGAAATAATATGAATAAAAAGTTCCTTGGGGGAATCCAAATGGGTCAGTTCTTGGAACTTTGGAAATATCAAGAAAGACACACATGCAATTCAAAAAAGTTTAATTTTCGCATTGGCACCCAAGGAGGGGCTGTTGGAATGCAATCTCAAAATTTAAAAAATAGGGGGGTTTATTCTRAGCATTTTTAATCTCATTAAACCTCTCAGAATATAATCACTTTTTCTTGGTAGACTGTTCTCTCTTGGTGGGTGTTTGTCATGGGATTTAATTTTAAAACCATATAAAATGAGATGGCATCCTCTTGATGAGTTTGAGTCTGGACTTAGTTAAGTTCTGTTTCAWCCATCAGAATTATTGAATTGAAGATTGGGTTAAAAGTCCTAGTAATTTCCTGTTTTCTAATTCAATCCTTCAAGGAGATTGGTTTGCACATCTTAGGGCTTGGTTCTAACCTGCAGTATGTGCTATGGCTCTGACTTTGTAAATAAACAGAATATACCAATTCTAAGCAAAGAAGGACTTGGATTCTGTTGGATTAAACTTTTGTAAGGCCTGCATTTCAAAGGTTCAGGTTATGGATAGGTACTATTTTGCAGCAGGAGAAATACATTGTCTGTTGGGACAGAGAATGAGAGTGAAGAGTATAATCTAGACTAGGGGTGAGAACTAGCAGAGCTGTATCTTGTCTTACATACTTGATGTAAAAAACTGCAGAGAACATCGGAGCAACGGTGTTTTCCACCCTCACRTTCTCTTTTTTGTTTCCATATATTGCAGATTAATTTCTGCCATTTTCCTTGATGCACTTTACTTTGACATTTTAAAAACTTTTTCTGCCTCTTTGGGATTTCTCCACACACACACACTTTGTTTTTGCAGAGAATTCTRTAGTGATTCTGAAAAAAAATACCTCCTCTACGAAGATATATAAACATAAAAACTAGTTTTCAATAAGAATTACCTGGATGTTACTACTTCAACGTTTTCACAAAGAATACATTTCTATAAGATGTTTTTAAAATATTATTAGGTTTATATGGACTTGTCACAGTAGCATTTAAATTTATATCTGGACTGCATTCTTGAGGTGAACCTCTCAAGCTGGCTTTTGGCTATCATTGTGAAGAGACTTCAGAGTGCTGAAGCTTCAGGAGGAAGCTCTTCCCTGMAAAGCTGGAGAGGATATTCAGTTTGATGTATCTAACTAAATCTGCTGTGCCCTGGTGTGAGCTCTGAGACTCTTCATGTAATAAAGGCCCGAATGCTGATCTGCTGCTGTCAGTATGATATGAGCACATCGCAGAATTCTTATACATATGTTGAGGTTAGTTCACCTCTCTTGTTTCAGCCACAGGGATTGCTAAACACATTGGTTGGGTTTTTTCCTTCTCATTCTTGTAAGAGGACAGGAACTTTACATTTCAGTCTTCAGGTCCATTGCTATGCAGCAGTGAAAAATGAAAGTGCTCTCCTTACTCRAGGGTTTTCTTTGGATGCTCCTATTTCCAGTCAAACAATCACAGAGTCACGGAGAGTGTCAGGACTTCAGGTAGGTCAGGCACACTTCAGAAAGTTTGGAAAACAGCTACTGAAGCTTCTGACTTAAAAATTGTCAGTTAAAAWTTGACTCAAAACTTCTACACAAGTTGTAGCCAAATTAGTCTTGCAACTACATTTTTTATAGCTTTAGTTGAATGGGTGAATATGTATATGTATAAAATCCCTCCAAAGGTATTATCATCGAGTAACATAATACCAAACCTTTTGTCATTCAGAAGATAATTCTAGATGCATTAGCAGACATAAAAACTCAAGTTCAAATAGCATGCATGAGGCAGAAGTGGCACTGAACAAGAAAACAAGCTTTGCTTTTTCCAGTAATATATATTAAGTGATATAATTATGTATTGATGTATTTCACCTTTAAATGAAACAATTTTGCTATRGCTCCAGCAAAGGCAGAGGAATTTCTTCTTGCAGCTGCTTACAAAGTTTAATCTTTGACATATTGGGGCAGTACTGCTCAATAATTGTGCTGTTTTCAGGGACCACAAACTGCTGTAGACCAATAAGTAGTGGAATGCCATCTGCTTCCAAGAGTGTGTGATTTAGCCTTTGAATATCTTCTGTGATCAGGAGGGGCTCCATACTCCCTTGGGAATCACCTCTCCTACCAATTATGCTCTCAGAGAAAATTGTGTTGGGGAATTTCCTTCTCAAGGTATTCCAGAAGCCAACAAAATTTCAAGCTGAGCCWTGCAACTAATAGCTGACAAATCAAATTTTAATATTTCTTAAATTTTTTAACATTTAAAATTTCTTAACCAAGGGATGGTGGCATTAAGACATTTCTCTCTTAAGCTTGAAGCATATGATTTGATGATATTTCATGCACAAAACTTGTTGCCAGATATTAAATGTGTAAATGGTAAATGCTGATGTATTTAATTAATGTCACCCACAAGAATATTTCCACTACTAGGCTGATAATTTGTTCAGCTCTACTGCCTTAGTACTCTTACTTTAATCATATACTTCTCGGAGCTAAGACATTTGAGTGAAAATCTGTTTTAATTGCTGTGTTAATCTGTGCATAGTACTGATGCTGTCCATGATTACTATACTTAACCATGCCTTTAATTTGATGTTTTAATCTTCTGTAAAGGCTTTTCTATTATTGAGCCTCTCCACTTTTCTCTCTCATCTCTGTGTGCTAGGTTTCATTGGCTGGTTAACTTAAATTCAGCAGTGGTCTTTGTCAGCATTTCTTACATCCAGCAGTCTGTGGCCAGGAACCTTGGCTTTCTCATCCCATTTGTGTCTGGGCTTATGGCTATGATCACAATTCACATGGTTCGGGGTGAAATGATTTACAAACCCAAAACAGGTAAGAGACAGCTCCATCCTGGGGAGCATCTTTAGAGATTACTGTCATAGAAGAGATCAACTTGCACATCCAAACTAGTTTTTCCATAACTCTGTCCTGTTTGGTTGGAGTTCCTTGGGTTTTAGCCCTCCACAATCTGCATGTGAGAAATTATATCCATCTTCTGTAAAGATAAACCTGGAGATTCTGGATAGTCTTTCTGGATAGATTTTCTGGTAAAAGTGGGAAACAGTCTCTGGTAAACTTCTGTATGTTTTCTGTCCTGTCAGGGCACGTGTCACAGCCTTTGACTGTGCAGGAAGMGGTGGAATATGCCTGCTGCTGGTGGAATTGATTTTGCCATGTTTGGCTCAACCTTTTGTCTGCCCAACCTCTTATATTCCAAAGGGAGGGAGATGGTCATGACCATCTTTGAGACCAGGTCAGCTGAGCTAGGACACAGCCAGGCTGCTGCTTTGTTGAGCTCTCTGCTGGGCTTGTCATGGAGCACACAGTGCAGCTTCTGATTTCAAACCTGGCGGTTTGAAATTACTGCTTCTTATTCCTTTTTTGTGAGTGTCCAGTCTCTAGTGTAGGGCAAAGCAAAATAACATTTCTCTGACTGAAAACATTTCATTAAAACCTCTGCCAGTGAATTGAGCCAATACCAAATATCCTTTCTTTTATTTACTTCTGAAACTAACTCTGCTTAGAGAAGAACCCAAGTCCCAGTTGTTTTCTGGTTAGCTTCTTAATCAAATCAGTCTGGAATTCCACACTTTTTTCGTTTAGTCCTCATATTTGGTTTTAAAATAATCTACGTCTGAAACTTCAACTTCAGTTACAATGAGTGGTGAGTTAGTTGTGTAGCATAGTCCTACAGAACAATAAAAACTCTACCAAGTCTATATTTGAAGTTTTTGATACGTTGTTTCAGATTCTATTCCATAGTGACAACAGTCTACAGGTTAATACTACACAGCCATGTAGTTTTAAATATTAATTTTTCTAATAAAATGCTCTTCCTTAGTACTTTTAAAGCAAGTGCTTCCAGTCAGTGTCAATGGATATCTCTAGAACATAATTTCCACATCGGAGATGTGGAAGAGGGAGACATTTTCATTCTGCAATCTTAGTTCTTCTTGGGTTTTGGAAAGTAYTTATTTGTAGATATTACAAACTTATTGTAGTGCTTCAGCACTAAGGAAAGCAAAGAAATGCCATAACCCCTATTTGCATAGATGGCAACTAGCCAAAGGTAAATGAATCTGCATTCCCAAGCCTAAAACTAACAGTTTTGTGCTCGTTCTACTACTGTTTTATCTGAGAACCAAGTTAGCCATTCCTGAACCCAGTAACCAGTGAACAAGTTTTAATATGCCACRTACTAGACTGGAAACTCCTCTTCTGTCCTGCATAGTACTTAAAAGACCTGAGATGATAATTCTGGCTTTGAATTTCATCCACAAAAATTCTCTTAACTCATCAACTGTTTTTTTAAACTCCATGTAATTCTTACTTTCCCACTTCCCTTCTCTTGCTGCTGGACTTCAGCAGATMTGCAATATCTTGAACCGATATCTAAGAACATTCAATAAATGGAAAGAAAAAACAAAGGAAATTAAAACTTCACCTGCTCAAGCACAGCAACACATCATGGTGTGTTAAATAACTGGTAATAAAAGGCAGTCTTCTTTGTGGATGTTGGGTGGGATTCCTTTCATGACTACATGAAATCATGTGACTCAGCTGGGTCCGAAAATGAATGTTTTGAAACAAATCCAGACTATTACCTCTCCCCTCCGTAAAAAGACATAAAGGTGAATATACCAGCTTATATTTTTCCTCCTGAAATGTATTGTCTTGACTCTATTTTGCAGCAGTTACAAACATACCAATATCTAATGTCTCTGTTYGCAGGCAGTTCCCTGCTGACCACTTTTGGGGTGATTTTTAGTGCCCTGAAAGCATGCTGTGTGCGCTACCGCTACTTTAGCATGGGSGTGACAAACTGGCTGGACCATGCCAAGGAAAACCACGGCGGTCAGTACAGCGAGATTCAGGTGGAAAGTACAAAGTCACTCGCCAGACTCTTCCCATTGTTTGCTTTCCAGATTCTGTACAGAACATGCATTATGCAGGTGGGTACACAGCTTTAAACAAAATTCTCAAAATCGACTGTGACACGTGTTTAATACCATGTCTCTAGGTGYGTTTTTTTAAGTGAGTTTGCTTTGCCAGCTGAACAACCTTGCAGAGTAGTTTTAATTACCTAAGAATATACTTTGCTACAGCCTCTGATCTCCTCAAATAATGAAAATTGACTTGGYGAAGGCTCATTAAGGAGCTTGTGTGAGTGTTTGCTACTCCTTTCTCTGAACCTTTTTCTTGGTTCAACTGTTTTGTGTGAGTTCTGTGCTCCTCATGCTGCTGTGTCACAGTTACCAACACCAAGACTCAGGCTCAGTATTCTTTAAAAATGTAATTTTCCAATTTCCTAAATGTTCCCTCACTTATAGGGAGAGGTAGAAAATCTTTATTTGCTGTTTTGGTTGCATGTTTCTCATCCTGTTTTGACAAGATTGTGTGTCTGTTGTACCTACAGTGGAAGTGGGTGGGTTTCCATTTGTGGAAAGCAGCAGTCCTTTCACAGCCCCTCTGTCAGGCTGTGTGGTTCTTTTCACTTCTGAGAGTGTGTGTGRTATAAATGTAAATGTGTCAAGGAGCCACTTAAGCTGACACGATTCTTTCAGAGTCCTTTTGTCTGGATGATCCTGGCTAAGAGTTGGAGGTAGTTCACCCTTTGGCAACTGGAATAACAAGTTTATGAACTGGCCCAGAAATTCATTTTTAGTCATTGGTGTTATAATGCTGCTTAAGGAAATTCTTACAAGTATGTGGCATATACTGCTCCACTGACACTTCCTCTTGCCATCATTCTTTGTTGCCATCCATCTGCCTCATTCTTTCTCSTCATGCCTCCCCAACTCCTCCCCTCTTCCCCAAAAGAACAAAAAATCCCAAGTGAACATAAAACCCCCATTTAAAACTAACACAAATACATGACCAAGGTTTATCATTRGTGACCAGATGAAACTTAAACGGATATTATCATTTTATCAAATTTATAATAAAGTATTTGTCTAGAAAATATAGGTATCTTTCCACTGCTGAAAAAAAATCAATCCTTTGGCAGAATTTTTAGTAAGTTTAGGGCTCTTTCTCAAACTAAGAGATAGATCAGTGGTTTTTTTTGTGAAGATTAAGACTATTTTCTTCATATTATTAACAGTTTTCAGTGCTTGTGATTCATGTTGATGATATTTTAATTCCTGTTAAGAAGTCAATTCTTAGTCAAGTCTTTTCAATAGGCATTGGAAAAAAGGAACCAACAGCATTTGACTTMGTTCTAAACATGCATAGTTCTGTTGCTATTTATTCTCCCTTTTACAATGTGTATTTTCTTTCGAAGGTGGAATGTAGGTGAAAAATATTTTTATTAGGAGTTAGCATTTGAGTAATTCTTAAGCACTGAAATGATGGTTGGGGTTGACTATAACCATTGACTATAATCCTACATGACCTCAGTTAATAACTATACATTAATTTTCAGACAGCTGTAAAGCAGTAAACTCTACCTGGGTTTGAAATCACTGATCATATTGAAGAGCTGKGCAGGGTGCTACAGGAACCCAGAACTCAC